TAGTTTTTTTTTTTTTTTTTTACCAGTGATTGGTGCCACCTTGCCTTTTTTTTAATGAAAAAAAAAAAGGAAGAAGGCCATTAGGACAACTTACCTGATGTGCTGCTTCTGTTTTTTTTCCGTCTCCCATTTCTGGTAGGTGAAATCTTGCCTTCAGTGTGCTCTAAAGAAGAGTCATCATTGGAATCCAGATCTTTCGCCAAATCTGTGTCACTTTCACCGGAACTATCATCCCAATGAGCAGCATCCCCATTTTCAACAGACTGTGTATAAGTACACCCGTTTTAAACACATGACAAAATTGAGATATGGATAAAATGGTAGAACAAATAAACAGACAGACAGATAGATACCTGTGCAAAGATCTTTTCTGCTACAAGAGATGGACAGGGCAAAACCAAAAAACAGAGGACAAGTCTCTTGAAGATAGATTCTGGTGGAAAAGACTTGAGCACATTACACCAGTATCGTTCCAGAGTAAGGGTTGATGATGTGTCTTCTTCATCCTCTACAAGCTGGTACTCCAAGAACTCATCTGTGAGCTTAGCAGAATCCTCAGGTTTGGAGCAGATGCCAAATTGTACTGCAAGGTCAACTATATTCTTTCCTGTGACCTTTAATCTTCCTGCCGGGCTGAGGAGTTGTGAAATGCCCCTCAGGACACTATCGCTCAGAGGTAGACTGTCAGCAATGGAGGTCGTAAGAGTTTTGTAGAAAGCTAAACACTCCTCATGAAACACGTTCAGGTAATCTGCTAGTTCTTCTTCTCTGGCGGAGATGAAGTCTTCTACCACACCACCTAGACTGAGCTCAGTAGCAGGAAGGCAGAATGTTGAGTTCTCCAGGATGGCTGGGTCTCGTTCCTTCAGGTAGCGTATAACCGCTTGAGGGCGAAGAAAGCTGGAGGCATACGAACGTAGGAGCCCACTTGCTTCTCGAAGGACCTGGACAAGATCAGCACGAACGGAGCCTTTGCTTTGTTGCAGGTGCTGCTCGAAGGCACGGAGTGGTCCAAGAGCATGATCCAGAAACATCAAGGTGATTCTAATTTTAGGATTCTCCAGCTGCGAACAAATTTGCTTAGCTTTATCATTATTTTCATCGCAGGAAATGAAGTATGATACCAAATCACTCCACATTCCAAGCATCCTTTGAACAAGCACACAAAACTCCTCACAACTGTGTGAGAGGGGAGTGCTGGGGTCTTTTAGTTCATCAATGCCCGCAAACAGCATCTTGAGGTTGTCGTTGCTGGTGGAACAAGTTGAGAAGTGTTCATAGATGTTGGCAATAAGCTCCTGAACCTGACTGGAGTGAGCCTGTAGGCCAGCATTGCAGGCAGAGTCAGGTACGCTGTAAAGTCCACCAAGATCAATCACCTGTGGGTTGAGCTCCTGAATCTGCGACACAACACTTCCTGAGGTCTGTTCCTGGTCATTAACATAAAGAGCTACCATGTTGCCAGCAGGAAGCTCAAACTTTTGGAGGACATCGAGTAAACATCCAGATACAGAGCTACCATCTTCAGCCTGAAAGACATCAAGGAGACGGATACAATATCTTGATCGCTTTTCCTCAAAAAAGCCGACTAGCACTGCATGGCAGGAGCTCCTTTTTATGTTCTCTGCATCAAGTGGCACCTGCCCGTATATGTAGATACAGTACGGATTGATCTTACAAGCAGAAACAATATCATTTGGATAATTTAGGCCGAGGATGTAGCTTGCAGTACGCTGGGAGACCTTGTTTATCCTTGAGGGTAAACTGGAAAGGCAATGGTTTTGAATGAAAAGCAGCATGGTTTCACTATAGGAAATAGAGTTTTCTATCAGCTTTCTACTAGATGAATTTAATCCTCCCATCTCATGCGTCATATGCTTCTCAGCCTGCTGGTGTTGCTTAAGATCGAAAAAACCTGCGTGTAGAACGATATTGATGTCACACAATGTGCAGTAAGCACAGTTGTTTCCCATATGGCTGGCTCTGATCCATTTGAAGGTTCTTTGCCATTTAGGATCATAGGTCACAGGTCGCCTCCTTCCATTCAATTCCATGTCTTTGTCAGACTCGTCTCTTACTCTGCCTGTATAAAATGGAAAACAAGTTACATCAGTGTTGTGATGGAATAGTATATGTATTTCAATGACAAATTGATTTCCCAGTCCTATTGATGTTTTTATAGATATTGGGGCATATTTTAACATTATCCATGATTGTGGGAAAACTGAATCAAATAAAAGTCAAATTCTCCATACTGAAAAAATAACAAATAAAACTATAATAATAAAAAAATAAAAACTGAATGGACAATAATGGAGGCTCACCAGATTCACGTGGAATTTTCCAGGATTTTGGAGACTTAACAGGGTCATCTACTTGTACAATATCCTGACCATTACGAGCTTCAACTGGGTTGTACTCTTTCCCTCGCCTCTCATTGACAAAGAAAAATTTCTTGAACCATTTCAGAAAGGTGAAATTGGCTCTAAACTTTCCTGTGAGAAGCTGCTTCACAGGGACCGGCTGAAAGAGGCATAAAAAAATGTAGAAAATCAACATACTGTAAAGAGCTTGACCGATAACCTACTTTGCAAACCATACAAGATTCACATTTAAATATCCAGCATGTAGTTTCTGTTCCACTCATGAGACTAAACAGAATAAACAACATAAGAAATATAACCAAATTTACACATATCAACTTCAATGTTTACAATTTTATATGCAGGAGGATTACTGGGAGTAAAAGAATAGATTAAGGTTAATCTGACCTCTTTTACACCTGATTTCCGGAAAGCTGTCTGCAGAAGACTGTAGTTCTGAATAAAATCAGACCTCTTTTGGGACTCAAACTTTACTTTGCTCATGTCGATGGATCCTGGGAAGAGCAAGTCCATAAGCTGGCAAAAACACGCACCTAAAAACGATAAAAGAAAAAGAAAGAATGATGTTCAGTTTAAAAGGTGTTGGCAATGTGTAGATATTACCAAAATAAAATTTTAACAGTACCTGAACGACATTGCTCCACTTGAGTAAAATTAGTCTGTAATGTTTCGTTGATCCAGGACAAAACTTCATAGCGACTGCACTTGTCATCAGGGTTATTGGGGTCCAGACTTACATTCGTAGCCATCTTATGCTTTCATAAGCAAAATAATAATGCATGTGAGACAGCAATTAGAAGCAATAAATCATAGCCAAAAGTAATTACATTGCACATTTGAAATTAGGGCTGGACAATAATTCAATATCAATATGTATCGCGATATAATTTTTTTCAATAACGGTGATATGATTTTTAAACACATTTTCGATATTTCGATATACATTACCAGTTTCCCATACATTGATTTATTTGTGCCGTTTGACTTCGTTGAATAAACATGAGCACTGCACGTTTCAAAATCAAAAAATGTCGCGGGTGTTTTATATAAATGTATCTGTGAAGGGAACCGACTGTCTTCAGAAAAGTTTCGATGGCATTTTCATTTGATCTGATAAAGAAGCGTTCATGAGCGGAGCTGCTTTGATTACAGCCATTACTGGAGAAACCGCTAGTTCTATCACTCTAAAAGCGCCTCCTGCTAGCAGAGCATGAGTTTTCATTTTAAATAAGCCCGTCTCCAGCAACATTTCCAGTTTTTGTTGTTCAATTTTTTTGTTTTCTGCAGCGACTCGGAGCACTTTTCATACCCTTTTTTTCTGGCTGAAGCACATTTGTTTCAATCTATAAGAATAATCAGCCTACACTACCAGTCAAAAGTTTTTGAACAGTAAGATTTTTAATGTTGTTGTTTTTTTTTAAGAATTCTCTTTTGCTCACCAAGGCTGCATTTATTTGATCCAAAGTACAGCAAAAACAGTAAAATGTTGAAATATTTTTACTATTTAAAATTATTTTCTATTTGAATAGATTTTAAAATTTAATTTATTCCTGTGATCATACATAGGTAAATTTTCAGCATCATTACTCCAGTCTTCAGTGTCACATGATCCTTCAGAAAGATCCAAAGATCAGCATTTATCTGAAATAAAAAGCTTTTGTAACATTATACACTATTCCATTCAGTATAATTTTTATTATTTTTTTGGGAAAGAAATTATAGAAATTAATACTTTTATTTAGCAAGGATGCTTAAAATTGATCAAAAGTGATGATAAAGGCATTTATAATGTTACAAAAGATTTCTATTTCAGATAAATAGTGTTCATATCGATATCGGAATTATATCGTATCGACCGAAATTAAGAAATATATCGTGATATCAATTTTGGCCATATCGTCCAGCCCTATTTGAAATCATAGAAGTGTTTGTAGTTTTATGCTTACATTTAAGGTATGACACTAAACCAGTAACAAGGTAACTTTGCTCACCTATATATAATTTTGTGAAAAAGAGTGACTTATTTAAAAGATAACGCTGGGTGAAGATGATGCATATTGAAGTTACTCTTAGATTCATATGAAATGTATAATGTGAAGTTAATCTCAGAAGCATATGAATTATATCATGTAAAGTTGCATGTGAGATACATGTTTTGAGATTAATCTAAAAGGCATGATGATTAATAAATGTTTTGTATTCTGAAGTCTAGTGAGCCTAGTCTGGCTCATGTTGGACTTCCTCAAAACTAAAAAGACTACAGCCTCTCTCTTGCGTCATTGTGTCGAGTCCTCCCCAGTTCACGAAAATCTCGCGGGGTAATTTTTGCCGCGAATGCTGCACACTTAAAAAGTAGCTTTCACTTTTACAGGTTTAACCGGTGACAACAACACCGTGGATCGCAAACAATGGGCGCACAAAATCAATCAAAGTAATTAAATAAACACAAGATATAATAAACAACACGGTGGCAAGCATTTAGCGGTTGATTTATTGGTGGGATGACATGATCGAATTGTGGTGCTTTAAAGCTTTCGATTATTTTATAATCTTGTCAGTGACACTTACTGTCTTTTTGAACCCTTTCAAAACAATTGGATTAACGCTAACGAAGCTGAAATGTAATTTCATTTGTGTGATTTTAACTTTAAAAGTTGCTTTAACCCAGACGTAAACGGCTAACATGCAGTGCGAAACATATTTGCAAATAACAACAATTTAGTAAACATCTTTTTTTTTTTTTTTATAAACCATAACCGTGTTTTCATTGTATTAAGACCGATTGTCTTTGTCAGTATGTCTTTGTGTTGCTGTAATGGTCGCTCAGATATAGCGAAACAGTATAGGATCATGAAACATAAGAATGGTTTCTGTTTCCGCAGAATCGTAACTCAAGACACAAAATATGACAAAAACGTGCTTTTAAAAACATCAAATATGTCCTACCTTATTTGTACCTTATTCCCGGAGACCTCGCTACTCCCCAATCCAGAAGATTATCCCCAATCTACCCCAGTGCCTTCCCCCAATATATGCATTGTGCTTACAAGCAGTGTTGCCAAGTCCACGGTTTTCCTGCGGAATTGGGCTACTTTAACACTGTTGCCGCGGGTTGTTTTTTATGTCCGCGGGTTGAAGCGACTCCAATAACATGATATTTATCCCCTGGATAACAACAATTTAGTAAACATCTTTTTTTTTTTTTTATAAACCATAACCGTGTTTTCATTGTATTAAGACCGATTGTCTTTGTCAGTATGTCTTTGTGTTGCTGTAATGGTCGCTCAGATACAGCGAAACAGTATAGGATCATGAAACATAAGAATGGTTTCTGTTTCCGCAGAATCGTAACTCAAGACACAAAATATGACAAAAACGTGCTTTTAAAAACATCAAATATGTCCTACCTTATTTGTACCTTATTCCCGGAGACCTCGCTACTCCCCAATCCAGAAGATTATCCCCAATCTACCCCAGTGCCTTCCCCCAATATATGCATTGTGCTTACAAGCAGTGTTGCCAAGTCCACGGTTTTCCTGCGGAATTGGGCTACTTTAACACTGTTGCCGCGGGTTGTTTTTTATGTCCGCGGGTTGAAGCGACTCCAATAACATGATATTTATCCCCTGGAATGCGAAGTTTAGCAGGGGAACCCCGCCAAAAAACGTGTATTTTACCCCTGGAAGGCGATCGAAACGCGACTGGACTAGTTTTGAGTAGGGATTGGGCAGGTTTTCTTGTGAAAACCTGGCAACCCTGGCTGCTTTAGAGAAGAGGAAGAGAAAACTAGGGGTGCACGTAAAAATCTATTCATATATTCCATTCAGTATAATTTTTATTATTTTTTTGGGAAAGAAATTATAGAAATTAATACTTTTATTTAGCAAGGATGCTTAAAATTGATCAAAAGTGATGATAAAGGCATTTATAATGTTACAAAAGATTTCTATTTCAGATAAATAGTGTTCATATCGATATCGGAATTATATCGTATCGACCGAAATTAAGAAATATATCGTGATATCAATTTTGGCCATATCGTCCAGCCCTATTTGAAATCATAGAAGTGTTTGTAGTTTTATGCTTACATTTAAGGTATGACACTAAACCAGTAACAAGGTAACTTTGCTCACCTATATATAATTTTGTGAAAAAGAGTGACTTATTTAAAAGATAACGCTGGGTGAAGATGATGCATATTGAAGTTACTCTTAGATTCATATGAAATGTATAATGTGAAGTTAATCTCAGAAGCATATGAATTATATCATGTAAAGTTGCATGTGAGATACATGTTTTGAGATTAATCTAAAAGGCATGATGATTAATAAATGTTTTGTATTCTGAAGTCTAGTGAGCCTAGTCTGGCTCATGTTGGACTTCCTCAAAACTAAAAAGACTACAGCCTCTCTCTTGCGTCATTGTGTCGAGTCCTCCCCAGTTCACGAAAATCTCGCGGGGTAATTTTTGCCGCGAATGCTGCACACTTAAAAAGTAGCTTTCACTTTTACAGGTTTAACCGGTGACAACAACACCGTGGATCGCAAACAATGGGCGCACGAAATCAATCAAAGTAATTAAATAAACACGAGATATAATAAACAACACGGTGGCAAGCATTTAGCGGTTGATTTATTGGTGGGATGACATGATCGAATTGTGGTGCTTTAAAGCTTTCGATTATTTTATAATCTTGTCAGTGACACTTACTGTCTTTTTGAACCCTTTCAAAACAATTGGATTAACGCTAACGAAGCTGAAATGTAATTTCATTTGTGTGATTTTAACTTTAAAAGTTGCTTTAACCCAGACGTAAACGGCTAACATGCAGTGCGAAACATATTTGCAAATAACAACAATTTAGTAAACATCTTTTTTTTTATTTTTATAAACCATAACCGTGTTTTCATTGTATTAAGACCGATTGTCTTTGTCAGTATGTCTTTGTGTTGCTGTAATGGTCGCTCAGATACAGCGAAACAGTATAGGATCATGAAACATAAGAATGGTTTCTGTTTCCGCAGAATCGTAACTCAAGACACAAAATATGACAAAAACGTGCTTTTAAAAACATCAAATATGTCCTACCTTATTTGTACCTTATTCCCGGAGACCTCGCTACTCCCCAATCCAGAAGATTATCCCCAATCTACCCCAGTGCCTTCCCCCAATATATGCATTGTGCTTACAAGCAGTGTTGCCAAGTCCACGGTTTTCCTGCGGAATTGGGCTACTTTAACACTGTTGCCGCGGGTTGTTTTTTATGTCCGCGGGTTGAAGCGACTCCAATAACATGATATTTATCCCCTGGAATGCGAAGTTTAGCAGGGGAACCCCGCCAAAAAACGTGTATTTTACCCCTGGAAGGCGATCGAAACGCGACTGGACTAGTTTTGAGTAGGGATTGGGCAGGTTTTCTTGTGAAAACCTGGCAACCCTGTTCCAAGGATTGGCCTGTAGAAAGTAGGAGGTCCTATACTGTATTAGCTAGCTAGCTAAGATTTTTTCACGTACGAAATAGCGTGTTGTTTTTCAGCGACAACAACAGTATTTTCACGTCAAGATACAGATGTAAAATAGGCTAAGTTTGAACTGATTTAATGTGTGTCCAGCTGTTTAATTCGTAACCATTAGCGACGACTCTGATGCCAAGAAGGAGCACTGGCGATTTTTATCGCACAGTTTAAAATATCCATATCAGTTATAATACATTGTGTTAGTGTTTAAATCCATAAAAACCTATTTTGAATATTTCAATAAAATTATATAGTGAAATAATGAAAATGTAAAAATTGGAACTTGCAAGTTATACATGCTGGACAACGTTTTTTAAAGCAGAACATAATGATTTACGTTTTACTTAATCTTTTAGGCTAATCTTTTAAAATCAGCTGTCAATCATATCTGACAATTAAATGACACAGTGATGCATATTTGAGCACTAACGAAAGCCACGTGACGGTTACGCGCAAAAATATTTGTGAGCTCAGTAATAATTAAATGGATTTACATTACATTAAATTTTGGATTCGTATATATCAATACCATCGGTGATCGAACATACATTTGAGGAATTGTGTTGTTTTTTATTGTCAAAAGCACATAAAGCTTGCGGTTAAAGTGTTTAAATGCCGTCACGTATCAATATTCTATAAGGTAAACAGTTAAAGGTTAGTGACGCTGAAATGGCGGGCGGCGCGTCGTGAGTTGAACGCGTGTTGATATGGTGCCAGAAAAAGCTTCGGGAAAAGGAGCTTGTTTTTCACCGCCTAAAATGGCAAGGCGATTTGAATTGGTTCTTCTGCAGTCTATTATAACGAATGTGACTGGTTTTGTGTACTTTAAGTCCGCAATTTGGTTCCACTTTTACTAGACAAAAGCAAGACGACCATGTAAGTTTGTAATTCTCAATGTAGTCCAGTGTTTGCCAGCTGTTTATGTTCAGCCACATCAACACATGGTTAGTGTTTTCCATTCTATTCTGTTAGACAGTTTAGCCAATCTCGGGCAAACTCGTTTTTTAATCAGAAAAATTGTTACATAAAGAAAGTAGCCTAAATATTGGAGCTTGAAGAGAAATAAATGTTTCAGAAGTGATAAAAGCACAACCCCCTTTGTTTAACATAAGTGACAACGACATTAGCATAGGCTACTTAAAATATGTAAATTTTAAAAAAAAGAAGGAAAAAGTGAAAAAAGGAGTTTGACGGAGTTGGATTTAGTTTGGTTTCATTTGGAGACAGTCCCTCTGAATTGCAATCGCACATTTGTATTAACATTTGTTTAAAGGCAAAGCAGCTGGACAAACAGGACATGTGAGCCTCCACCCATGACAAATATTTTTATTTTCTTTTTCTCTCACTCTCTCTTTCACTCAGTCATCATCCTTTTGTACTTTTTCTTTTATGAATAGGCCTAAATATTTGAAGCCGTTATGTGTAATTGTGTTTCTCTTATCCCTTCTGTAGATACAGCTATAGAAAAAGCATTTGTTTGGATAATTTCCCAATTAAGCTTTGTGACAGCATCAAAACATTAGCTACTCTGAGCATTACAACCATACCAAAAGAACAATATTGACAGTCAACACTGTGAGTTTGGGGCAAGGCTATCTGCTTTTCTAACCAATGGTATTGGGAAACCTGTTAGAAAACAACTATTTTGCTGTTCTGTTTGGTGATTATAGCTGAGGTGTTAATTACCTTACGAGGTAGGAATTCAGATAGGAATTGCAATGATAGTAGGAAATTGTCAGAGGGTTGAGAAAATGGCTACGTTTTACAGACCAATTCTCTATTCTTTCTAAATAGCCTGAAGAGAATCTGCAGTTATAACCCTCATGGTTAAACAACAGATTGGAAATTGGAGCAAATTTAAAAGAAATTCAGAAAGCTTATCACAAGAGAGAACAGGACGTAGGTGCAAAACTAGGCTATGTGTTTTAATGTTTGTTGAATTATTGACATTGACTGTCCAGTGGAATACGGAAACTTAAACTGAAGTGAGTTCCTTATCAGAAGTGAAAGAGTAGTCAGCGATCCCTATCACACTCGCTGCTTGACAAAACAACAGTGGTCTTTATCTTCTCGCCTTCCTGTCCCTTCCTGCCTTCCTGTTTGAAACTGAAAAGAACATTTTCACTACAGCCTACCTTGAACCCACACATAAATCTTTCAAATGCATATTTCACAACGTCTCTTTTGGCACTCCAGAGAAAGTGACGATTTAACTTATGTTTGAGGCACACTGTTTCTCTTGTAATTATATGTAGCTGTTTGCTAGTTTGTCAACAACCATTTTTTAAAGAGCTGAAAACATTTGGGATACCTGAGTCTTTCACATGCTAAAGCAATAGTGAAATGAAAGTTGTCATCATTTACTCACCCTCACGTTTCTCCGACCCGTATGACTTCTTTTATTTGTAGAACACACAAGGAAATATTCTGAAGACTGTGGTTTTCTTTTGCAATACTGAGGATTTAAAGCACCATAAAG